TTTAATGATCTCTGATGCTGTGATTGTAAAGTGTTTCTCTTTTTCTCTCGCTGCATTCGGAAATCCTTAAAACAATAAAAACTAATGAAGGTGTGTCCCCCCCCCCCCCCTAACATCACATCCATGTCCGACAAATAGCACAGAAAATGAGGTGCTTTGTTAAATGGTGGCGTTTTAAAGTAATTCATGAGGGTCGTTTTGACTCGTGTCAAGCTGCCATCACATGACAAGGCTGGTCTCATGACCGGCATTACATAGCGCTATTAATTGTATCTGGAATGGTGGCCAAAACTTTGCCTGCATTTGCACCCTCCCACTTTATTTTCACTTGAACTCACTACACCCCCCTCCCACTCCACAAAGCAGTCCCAATGTTTTTAAAAGAACACAAAGCACACACTTTGGTGCGCTTTGTCGATATCGCCAAAGAATTCCCGGTCTTTTTTTTTTGTCCACATCTGTGTACACGTACAGTTAGAAAATGACCACCAAGTATCAATGCACGGTGGTAAATGTGCTAAAATGCTGTGCAAAGTGATGTCGGTTTACATTATTTGATTGCTGCTCATTTGTTTTAATGGATGTTCCCGTTGCCCGTCGAGCCCTCGATTCTGCGGATGATTGGCACTTTAAATGCGGCGTGATAAGAACGAGGGGTCCCCATATTCATCGCAACATGAGCTGGGCAAGAAGCAGAGATTAAAAAGACGTTAAGTCAAGGGAATCCATGCAGTGAATGTATAATGTAGCAGGCACATGCCGTCTGCTGCATCGTCTCGCCGTTGGTGGAACAAGCGTAGCACGCAGGGTGGAGTGTGCATCTCGCACTACAATCTACCCTTGCTTGCCTGCCTCCGTTTCTGTCATTAATTTTCCAACGGTGTTAAAAAAAAATGTATCCTGTTGTGCAGTGGCATTATTAAAGTATTTATTTGGTTTGTTTTGTCAAAAAAATTATGCCCCTTAGAATGTTTTATTGGATTGTTGGTAATTGGCTTTCTCCTGAAGCTGCAGCTGGCAACTTGGGCAACCGTGGAATTCCACTGTGACTTGCGCACCCACACGCGCATTGTGTTTTTCATTACCGGCCGCTCTGCCCTGAAACCTGCTTCTTTTGCATCTTTGTTTACCTGAAAGCCTCGGGCAGCGGTTCACCTGACTCAATGTCTGCCATCTGGTGGAGAAGAGGACACATTGTTTGAGGGGCGGGGGGGGGTTGTTGTTCGTACGTGCAGGTATTCTTTATAAGCGTATTTGTGCGCTTTTAAAGTCGTTCATTTTCTATGGTCGCTGTTGTTTGCGGTTGGTGCTGTTGGCGCGCAATCTTTTCATTGTCCATCGTTGCAGGATGAGTTGAACTGCGTCCCTGTTGCAGAGGGGTTTCGATTGTTCTTGGGGAACTCTTTAAAAAAAAAGACTTGGTGAGAGGAAAAAAACCTCTGAAATATGATTTTTTTTTCGTTTCGCTTATAGCTTGCGCCTGATGGAGAAAGCGAATCTGAATGGAATGAATGGACACAGCGAGTGCGCGGAATTCCATTCCACATAATCTGCAGGTTGAAACAAGACAAAATGGCTTGGGCATTCTAAATGGTACACAAGGTAGCATCTGTACACAATGGAGCGTGCATTTCCAAAACACATGGGCATGGACGCGATGCCTGTGATTCACCACTTAAGCATGTGGTTTTAGTTCATATAATGGGCCAATCTTAATTATCTTGCATTCATACAAACGCTCACCGTAAAGGAATATGATGTGTGTTTACAAGTTAGTCACTTCCAACATTTACTTTATAAAAAAGCAAAGCAATGCTTTGTAGGTATATATTATACACGCACACTGAGTCACTGATGGTTACGCATATTTATGTATAACTGAACAAATGGAATACGTCGATGGACGAGAGACGATAGATTACTGTATTATACCTACGTGACTTTACCGAAAGAACCAAAGAGTATGGATTCCTGCAGTCACGAAAGCTTCAACTCAAGACGTATTAATATTAATTACAAAGGCATTTACTAACCACACTGGGGGAGCTTCGCTGAAATGATTTCAACTGGTGTTCACAAACAAAGCATAATGGGCCACCCCCAACACCGAATGAAGGTTCATATAAAGGTTTAATCATTTCAGTAAATGTATTTTCGCATTGTCCACTTGTGTAAATCGGCGATGACTATTGATTCCCGGACTTCTCTATAAAACATTTTTACAAAGTCGCCACCCTCTGAGAACGTCAAGAAATCATGAACCATTCATGATCAGGTGCTAATGGCTAACATTCACGCACACTGAGCTTTTATCACACTACATTTAGCAGTTTACTGGATCAGCAGACTGCTCAGGCATGAAGCAGCCAGTATTAACTCTTATGAAATAAATCCAGTCTTGATCTCCCCCCCCCCAACCGATGTACAATAAATTGGTCCCTGAAGGTCAACCACATTTACACGGTAGAAAGGAGGGAGAAAGAAAATAAATTCCGCGGAAGTAGGGGGGGACGGCACGGTTACATCGAGGCGTCCAGGTGGCCAAATGTGCGTAAGGAACACAAAATAGCAATCGCAATTACTGCTCCGTGGGTGTTCACGGGTGTGCTGTGTGGCTCTCTGATGTTATTTCGTGGTACTACCGGCCACTACGATGCAGAATCCGTCATTTCCCAAAGAAGCTCCCTTTCACGTGAAGCTAAAACGTCGGGCGTCGTGCCGGTTAACAAGCAGTACAAACCCGAAAGCACACGGGAGAGCCGGTTACAGACAGCTGTACAATATCCCCGACTGCCATGGTCATTCCACTGCTGGACGAAGACCTCCCCAACATGCGCACTATAATCTTCGCTCCGTCTCCTCGGTCGTGCGTCCTTATGGACGCGCAACTGCAGCCGTTGTGAGTTCATATGTATTGCCTGCATTTGAATTAAAACACTTTAACCAAGAAATTGGGGGTAGAGTACATTCGTAACAGAGCCGCGTTACGCTCACTGATGTTGTTGTTGTTGGAGGTGGAGGGCAGTGTTTTGTCATCAGTTCAATTGTAAACACAACAGTGGCAGCTGGAGGTTTTTTTTTATTTATCAGCGCCTATTTCGCTCTCTCTCGACTCGACCTCCCTCTCTCTCCAAAGTGAGCAGCACGCTGCCACGGTGACAGAACGAGCCTCTCTACACGGCCTTTAATGGCTGCACTGAGTGTCTCTTGTCCTGAAGCAAACTGCCGGAGCCCCCCCCCCCCCCGTTGCCTCCCCCCCCCCCCCCCCCGTTGCCTCCCCTGTGCTGTGTCATGTTCGTGCCTCTGCTTCTGTCACATTCGCTCGTGCGCGGCCATAAATATAGCAACGCAGTGTGCAGGGCGTGCAGTCACATAATCATTTTCTGCGACCCACAGGTAATGATTAAGTGCTGGCAAGCTCTTTTCAGACGTGCCCATTATCCGCCACAGGTAGCACATGTGATCCAACTCAGTGCCGAGATTAACTAGGCTGTGTTGACAACCTGCGTTAGGTCACCCAGCCTCCGTGCTGATTGTAATAATGAAAAATTAAATCACGGCCTGCTTGTAATGACTTTACTGGCGGCAGACACACACACACTAAGCGTCCCTTGGATTCGTGGTCGATAATTGGTGCCAAATGAGGCCCTCCGTTCTACGATAATTATAGGGGGAATCTCGTCACGCATAAGGCAGATTTTTTTTTTGCCGGTGCACAAAAGTAGCGGCCAGATTGCAGTATGACGTGTCAATTTATCAAGCTACAGAAAGGCGTAATTAATGGAGACTCTCATTTGCCGCTCTGTTGTGTACCGACACAGCTGCTTCAGTGGTTTGTGGGGGCCCATGACTTGGAGGGGGCTTTGCCGGTGGTGACCCTGAATGAAGTCCCTTTTGGACCGTAGTTGGACATTGAAAAGTCAGCCTCCTTTAACCCTTCCTTTCCCATTTATGGCAACCTCCTCTTTCACTTTCACTAATGGCTTGTCTGTTAAAAGCTTATGGTAAATTATTGAAACAAATGACTACACCGTCATATAGATTTTTTTATGGTTCACCTTGTTGTAAAATGTATATTATAGATCCACTTTTGTATAAGCATGTGCAACACTACCTTGTTATTAATTTATTGGACATATATAACATAGCTTTCGACTGTATGTGTGTCTGTGTGTATATTCCAGCTAGAGTAATTTATACTGGCAGTTTCTGTCACAACTGTAAATGATTGGCTTTAAAAAGCGTGATGTCATTGCAATGAAAATTAAATATCTTTGTATTGTGGTAAATCGTAAAATGTGATTATTGCGTGTGTAGCGCTGATGAAATGTGCCTTTTAAAAAAAAGCTCATTAAATTTCAAGACAGCAGTTACTGTGATGGTATAAATTTGTCATCATCATAATAATCATTAACCTGTTTTACCACAAAACGGTGCACTGGGAATCGTATGTATTGCTTAAGGATGATGGAAAAGTGATTAATATAAATTATGCACCAGTATAATACATTTGAATGTCATACAGGTAATAGTAATTTCCACACTCACGAAAAAACATGAGATCTAAGTGACATTATTGATCATATTCATTTGGAGTGAAATAAAAAAAGGAAAGGGGACTCATCCAACTGTCATATAATTGCTTAGATTAATAATACAAAATTGTATCTACTAAGGCAAATGTAGGTGGTGACGGTAAAGGCGCAGCCTTGCGAGAGGGCCTCTCCTAGAGGGAGCTCTAGCAAGCCCCTGTAGAGGCTATTTTGGCCTACTTTTCCAAGCTGGCCAGATGTCTAGGAAGAGGGCATTACCCCCCACTTTACCCCACACACACAACCTGCAGATCGATTAACTGTTGCAGCTAACGTACAGTCATTTAATAAGTCCAAATATGAATGTATTAATTGTGTTACTGTTACTATTATTCATCTCCAGGCATATATGGTTTATTTTACATTTGTAAGAGGCGCTAACCATCTTTTGTATTGATCTGGGTGCAGGATGTGAGTGGGAAGGTGCTCGACCGTTGGACAATCATGAGCAGAGAGGAGGAGATCATCACCCTGCAGCAGTTCCTGAGGTTTGGCGAGACCAAGTCGATCGTGGAGCTGATGGCCATCCAGGAGAAGGAGCTCCTGGCCGTACCGGTGCAGAGCAGCAAGGCGGACTCGGACATCCGCTCGTTCATCGAGGGCAGCAGTCGCTCCCGCAGCCCCGGCATGACGCCGCACCTGGAGAGCCCCGGTGCGCCCGGTTCCACCAACAGCGTCCACCACTTCGAGAACATCCCCAACAGCCTTGCCTTCCTGCTCCCATTCCAGTTCATCAATCCCGTGGCCGCCCCGCTCATCGGCCTCCCGCCTAACGGCCTCCTGCTGGACCAGGCCGCGCTGAGGCTGCGCGAGCCCCCCATGCCACTGCCCGAGAGGCACACGGAGAGCGGCCAGGCCGAGGGCAGCAGGGTGTCGGTGCTGCGCGCCGAGCAGAACTCTGGACACAGAGGCGACCAGGCGTCGCTGATCAGAGCCGAGCAGGCGACAGCGCTCAGACCCGAGCAGGTGTCCGTTCTCAGGCCCGACCAGGCGTCCGTACTCAGGGGGATAGAGCCGCCCGGCGTCCTCACGAGCGATCATTCGTCGGTGCTGAGGGCCGAGCAGCCGTCTGTGCTGAGAGGCGACCACCTGCCCATCATCAGAGGGGACCACACGCCCAGCCGGAACGCGCTGTCCAGCATCACGAACGTAGACACAAAGCCTGAAACACCGCCGCGGCTCATTCCCGTGCAAGCCGCCTCGCAAATGGGCAACATCATTAAGACAGAGACCCCCAAGAGCATATTTTTCTCGGCAAAAATGAGACATTTGCGAAAGAGCATGGCCCCGTCAAAAAAGGGACGAGTGTTTTGCAACGCGTGCGGCAAAACGTTTTACGACAAGGGCACGCTCAAAATCCACTACAATGCCGTCCATCTCAAGATAAAGCACAAGTGCACCATCGAAGGTTGCAACATGGTCTTCAGCTCCCTGAGAAGCCGCAATCGGCACAGCGCGAACCCCAACCCGCGGCTGCACATGCCGATGCTCCGGAACAACCGCGACCGCGACCTCATCCGGAGCGTGAGCAACCCTTCGACGCCGCCCTCGATGGGGACTCCCAAGTCTGAGTCCAGCTTTTCTACCCCCAATCGCCTCTCCCTGACCTTTCCGAGTGGAGGCCTCGATGCCGGCATGCACGGTCCTCTCGTCTTCCCCACCATTAAAACGGTGCAGCCCGTGCCGCCTTTCTTCCGGAGCCTCATCACACCGGGCGAACTGGCCAACACCCCGTGTCACATCCCCTCCTCCATCTCCGTGTCGTCTTCCATCCCCGAGCAGCCGTCTCCTCGGGAGCTTCCGATGGAGCCCGTCTCGAAGAAGAAGCCGCGGAAGTCGAGCATGCCCGTGAAGATAGAAAAAGATGCTATGGAGATCTCCGACGAAGAGTTTGACATCGAAGACGACGAGAGTGACGAAAACAGGTCGGTCAGCAGCGACGTGAACAGCGCCAAAACGGACGACGACAACAACAAGAGCGAGGACGAGCGTTACGGGGACATGCGCGAGGTGGCGGACGCGAAGTACGGGGACGACGCGGACGCTCGCACCGAAACGAACGGCGTGGAGAGGGGCAACGGCCTGGCGCACGACAACAACAACAGAAGCAGCGCGGAGCTCGCGAGAGAAATCTTCCCGGAGCTCTCGGACCGAGACGTGGTCAACGCCAGGGAAGAATGCGAGGACGACAGCTCGCAGGAGGACCGCATGGACGAGGAGAGCCACGATGAGGGCAGCCAGAGCGACGACGAGGGGAGGCAGTCCCTGCAGTCGGAGCCGGCGTTCGTCAAGGAGGAGCACCCGGACTGTAGCTACGAGCCGTACTACGCCTTCGGGCCGTACGGCTTCTTCAACAGCAGCTTCGTAGCGGCAGCCATGCGCAGAGATCTGAGCTGCCCCCCGTACGAGAAGAACATGACGGCCTTAGACTACAGCATGACGGAGAGATTCTCGGAGGACGGCGATTGGCTCTCGAGCAATGACCCCAAAGCGTGCAACGTGTGCAAAAAGATTTTCAAGAACTCGTACAGCGTAAAACTCCACTACAAGAACGTCCACCTGAAGGAGATGCACGTCTGCTCTGTGGAGGGCTGCAATGCTGCCTTTCCTTCGCGACGCAGCAGGGACAGGTCAGTTTCTAGCTCGGCAGATATGGTCATTAAAAATAAATAATACGGCTCTCAGGCTTTTACCTGTTTGCTAGTCTGCTTAGGGTAGGTGAATGACGACAGACGAAATATATTATTATTACTATTATTATTTTTCCAAATTGGAAATTGCATGTGCCGTGTCGTATGTTCATGTTAATCGTTCACAGGCTCGATAGTTAAAAGGCTAAATAAAAATGGCGAAATTTTTAAAAAAACATTTTAAAATGTACTGTTTTTTTCTAATGTAAATGTATTTTGATGTGTAACAAAAAAAAAAAACTCCAACAAAAAACACAATGTAGCGGTCTTGTAACAGAATGATAGTTTTGTGTTCACGGCTCAATTCGGTAGCTAAAGAGCCCACAGTGTCGAAATATTGTTTATGGAACCGTACACCTGCCCATGCCTGTTCAGGTGCATCCTGCACTGCATGCCACAGTATTTGGTGCATTGTAACCTAATGGATAGCTGTCACACACTCTTTTTTGTAATTCATACATTCATAGTTGTATAAAATAGAAGACGTTATTAAGTTTAAAGCGTGTATAAAGGTGTACACTTTATTTTAAAATGGGCAGTTCGGTGTTGCTGTCAATAAGGAGAGATAATAGAGGGGGAGTTGGGGGGGGGGGCGACTACACTTCAAATACGTTTTTTGAAAAAAAAAGCCGCTTCATATATATGTTTGCTTCGAAATGTTCCAATATCAGGAATAACGACTATACACCGCAGAAACATAGACTTGTAGTAAATTAAATGCAGAATGTAAAATTAAAACATGCACAATACAAAAAAGTCACATTGTGGAGGTATCTCTATGAACGCGTGTGCATGTGTGTGCGTGCCCGTGTGTGCGCACACCGCGAGTGAAGACGGAAGAAACGTCAGAGGGAACCGTGCCTGCCCCCTACATGTTGCCGTATTTAGGAATAGAGAAACACAAAGGCAAAGATCCCCCGTGTAGCCTTAACAGAGTGTAAGGGGCAAGTGCTGTTAGCGAGCACCCTATGAAGGCCCCGAAAGGTACACGAGGGGGGCGGGTGGCCAGCAGCCACGCCCGACCGCCTTTGTCTCCCCAGTGGCGATGTTTACTACACACCGCACCAGGTACTCATTTGAGGCCGAGTCGACCTAGGGGAGGCCCAGGACCGGTGTCAGATAATCGTCGCTGGGTGTTGGCCGTGAGCGGGAATCGAACCCGGGTCGCCGGGTTCGTAGCGCCAGCGTAGCGCTGACCCCCATACACGCGCGCACACACAACACGCATCTCTCTTTTTGGCGGGGGGGGGGGGGGGCCCGTCTGTGGTGGGGGGGCGTGGGCTTTGGGGGTGAAGAGGAAGACAGCCAGCCGCCTGTCAGTTGCGTTTTGGCTTGCAGGAAGGAGTGGACCAAGAGGGAACCTTCTGTTGAGCTGGCAAACAGTCATTAAATTTTCTCCTTTGTGTTTTGCTCTCCCCACTGAAGGACCACGGTTGCGGTTGGGGATAATGTTATAGTTTCTTTTCTCGGCAGTTACAAATTCTGTTTTTATTTAAAAGTGCCGCCGTATACTTTCGCCCAACCTATTTACAGGCACGCCGGTGACTTTGGTGATCCGCGGTGACCAGTTATTTGTTCGAACAAAGTGTGCATGCATTTTTCTTAAGGGATAATTTGTACCCTCCTGCCTCGCTCGTGAAAGTGAACGTGGGTGTTGACGCAATGCGTAATATGTTAAGGGCGCAGAGCGCGGCGGAAGTGGTATTACACGATTGGCAATTCACATTTTATTCATGCATTTTTAACTGCTGATGTACAATAACGGCCATCACGTGAACGGTGATTGTTGTGCCCTAAGCATAACGCTGCAATTACGGATAGCTTGAGAGAGAGTGAGAGAAAAATAATCCACACGTATATTCCAACAATAATTATACGTTTAAAAAAATAAGCAGCAGCTCACAAAGCAAGGCTATTTTGATAGTCTTTAAAAAAAAAAATTCCAAATGAGTTTCCAGCCAGAAAGCCCACGCGGTGCACGGGACCCATTTTCCGGTTGCATTTTCCACCGATTCGGTTGCAATGGCAAAAGGACGAAGGGCGCGATTGCGTCTGGCGGGCGGGCGGTACGGTGGTGGTGGCGGACGAGGAGGCACGCACTGCCCCCCCCTACCCAACTCCCCTCTCCGCCCACCGCCCCCCTCGGCATTCCAAAGGAAGTATCGACCCCGTGGCTGTAAAGCAGGATGGAGGCGAGACAGCGCTGCATAAATAAAAGCGTGCACTCGAGCCTCCCACCAGGACTTGGCCGAGGCCCCCGTAATTTTCTGCGGCTGGGTGCACGGGGGGCCCGCAGGGGATGGCCCGGGCGCAGGGAGAGAGGCAGCCAGGGCACGGGCGAGGGGGTTGCCGGCAAGGGGACAGGAGGAGCAGGGGGAGGGCGGCGCGCAGGGAAAGGGTGTGCAGATGGGGCATGGTTATGGGGTTCGACTCGATGCTGTCGATAGGGAAAGCGTCCAGTTTATTAGAAGGAGGAAGGCAGAACTCTGGCCGAGCCAGCAGAAACCCAATTAACTCCTCGGTGAAATTGTTGCTCTTTCTCATCAGTTTTATTAATGTGGCGCGCGTGTTGGTGTGTGCGTGCACGCACACACCAACACTCGTCGGCTTCACAGGTGCTCACTCGCGGCACATGTCTCCTGAGTGTGTGGGACGTAAATGGGAAACGCTTTATCTTCTTGTGTTTAATATGAGTGCTCTAGTCGGTTTAAACGTAGGCAGCTTGTAATTCTAATCGATATAATAAACAGATTCAATCCTTAAACAACAACAAAAAATATCGTGAAACAAAACAGAGTTTTAAAATACACTGCTATGCCAAACCTTTACCACGTGTAACCCAGCAGGTAAACTCATTGTAGAAAGAAAAAAATATTTTGATTCGCTAATCCGTCCCGTTGTTTCAGACACAGTGCCAACATAAACCTGCATCGCAAGCTGCTGACCAAAGGCCTGGACGACATGTGTCTGGAGTCCATGGTCAGCCCCGCGCTCACGAGAGACCTCAGGGGACAGGAGCTCCTGGCCAAGCTGTATGGGAGCCCGCTGTCCACGCCGCCGCTGGAAGGCAGGCCTGACGGCCGTGAAGAATCTGGCGAAGGCAGCCAGGACTCAGCCGATGGCAGGGATGAGCCACCGGCAGCGGCGCACTGCGTCGAGCAGAGCAATGGTTGCAGTAAGCCCCCGACGGATGACGGGCCTGGCTCGGTGCTGGACCTGAGCACTAATCAGAGCGTGCGCTCAGGTGGCAGCGTGGGTTCCTCGCCTGGCTCGGACATCGGCAGCGAGGAGGGGTTGAATTTAGATGACAGCGACGAGTACAGCGAAGGCGCAGAGGCCCTGGACAAGGCGTCGCCGCCGACGGGCGACAGGCTGACAAGAGGGGGTTTGGACAATGGCGTAGCCAATAGTGAGGGCGGCCTAACCCCGAGCAGGCCCCTATCAGGAGGTCCCATCAGCTGTAGCATCTGCCACAAGTTGTACAGCAACAAGGGAACCTTGCGGGTGCACTACAAAACGGTTCACCTGCGCGAGATGCATCGCTGCAAGGTGCCTGGCTGCAACGTGATGTTCTCATCTGTCCGGAGCAGGAACCGCCATAGCCAGAATCCAAACCTGCACAGAAACTTACCACCTCTGAGTATGGCCGATTAAAAGCAAGGGACAGACATTTCTAGCGACATCGCTTTAACCATTCCAAAAATACACAGCCTTGCAACCTCATTGCGGTTTTTTTTTACCGGACTCAAGACTCGTTTAAAAAAAAACATTTCATTGGCACCAGCTGTAACTTGTTTATGTCTCTGTCGAAGGGACTGATGTGGCGGCTTGCATATGTGATCCACATGTGGCTTCCTGTCACCCTGACCCCACCACACAAGGTCACAGCATCGGGTCATTAACAGGGAACAAAAGCCACCAGCTGTCTACTGATGTTCCAACTTCTTCGAGCACCCATACTCACAACCACAGTCACAACGTCCCGTCACCCCCAAGTAAAAAAAAAAAACAGACACTTCCTCCACGCAGCACCACTTAATGTACACTTCTTGACTCCATTCCGAAAAGGCTATCCGTAATGTGTTGGTACAGGGACATTGAACTGATATGAAAAGTTTACAGATGTTAACGCAAATCTGTTGTGAGTAATTTTTTTAACCGTGCTTTCTGTAAAATAAAATAAAAAAATAAGCCTGTTGCAGACGCACAGGGGAGTGAGCCAGACATCAGTCAGCATGCATAGCAGTGAAACTGCTAGCACTGCACATTTGGGCACCACATGTCTACTTGAAAACTATAGAATCCATAAATACACAGGAGTGGCCAAAGAGAAAAATAAAAACTGAAGTTTCACTATTTGAATTTTCAATAATGTTATTCCCACCATCATTATAATATTTGTGGATAAATTGTTACAATAACCTGTATGTCTGCTGTTTTGGTACTTATAGAGACCGTAAATATTAAGGCACTTACAAGTACAATGACCTTACATTTCGCAATATAAGCAGCCGTTGGCTCGGATGCCACATGGTGACTTGCTGTACATTTGCCAACAAAACTTCATGTCATTGGGACAGAATATATGGAGTCCTCTCCGAGTGGCTCACCAAAGCGAATGTGGTTACCAGAATTTGTCACTACAACTGACCACACTTGTGCCATTCAGTCCACTGGACGTGTCTTGTTTTTAATGGGAGATCATTTCTACATCAATGTTAGACAACTGGCCTTGTGTTACATCATGCCTACACACAAGTCACATTATATATTTTGTCCTGATTACATGGAATGCTGTTGAGAAGTATTCTGCTGTGAAATATAAGTTGTGGTGCCAGTATTTAATTTTTCTTTTTTACTTATAATTTTCTATATTACCCCGTTTTTGCACATTGTGTATAGTTTGTGTTCTTGCCTACAGCTGATTGACTCAGCTCATAACAAAGTGATTCCTGCCTTTAAAAATAGCTTAGTTGTAAGATAACCACCGTACGACAAATGTGTTGTAATTTATCATACAGCATCACACCGTTTGAAATAGACAGTCAGTTTAAGGGATTTCAAATGATGAAGAGCAAGGAGGCACAATTTTATGAGACGACCATTGCTTGCAGTAATATCGTTACGGAATTCACGTTCCCGAATGTTAAATGGCTCCATGTGTTTTCTGCTCGGCATCGTTCTAATTGCGTCGGACGCCGGCGACGACTTCCCAAAACCAGGTCTTTAAACCGAGGTACAAAACCTGGCATTTTTAAACATTATTGAGAAACGCCCACGTAGCAACGAGTAAAAAGCGTAGCTTCGGTAACTTTTGACGAGGCCGTAATGTTCCCTTTGTAACAAACCAACGTGTGGTTTGTGCAGTGCATACCCTGGGGGTCTTCACAGGTATGTCTTCTCGCCTTCGTCAATACGGCATGTCCTGTCAAGGTGGAGGACGAGAGACTGAACTTAAAAAAAACCACTGGAATCCTGTAGGCAGAATTTGTTGTTGTAATTTTTTTTTTTAGTAATGGTTATGGAAATAAACTACAGAAATGGTACACCTGATGATGGCCGATTGGCCAAAAAATGTTTACTGACTGTTTTTCCAAACAGTATATTTTACATTCAATTTTTTTTTGTTATGAAATATTTCCACAAATTAACTCATGCCAACAAACTTCTTGTGGCTGCAGATGTCTACGGGAATGAAGCTGTTTTTTTTTAATAAGAAAAACATATTTAATTTGTTGTTTCATTAAATTCACATTTTCCAAATTTAAATGCATATAAATATATTTTATTTCAACTATTAAAAGTTTTTAATTTTTGCAATTTTTTTAGCTAAAAATGTTCTATAATCTCATTTTGTATTCTGTAAAAAGAACAGCTTTACTTGTTTAATGTTTAAGTACAGTTTACTGCAATGTACATTATATTTAATTTTATAGCTTAAATGCTGTACTACCTATTGAAATAGAAAACAAAAACAAGTTTCTCTTGCATCTTATACGATCTGTTTGTGCAGAAAAAAAGGTACTTGTGATAAGGTACTTGGTCACTTCAGTTGAGCAATGCAAAAGGGCAAGAAGAGGTAGCACTTTGAAGGCAGCTTAATGAGGTACCATCAAACCAATACGGCGTGGATTAAATCAACGGAACAAAGCAAACTTGATTTTGTGTATTTCGCTGCAAATTCCTTTTTCACCTTTGCATTCCCTTGGGCCAAGTGGCTTTGTTGACGCTCAGTGCAAATTAAATTAACAATTTCCCTTTTGTACAACTCACTTTCTGTTACATCGTTCAACCTTCGTACACGTAAAACGCTGCATTCTACCCAAATTTTCATCGTTCAACGAAAATGTGTATTTTGTTTTTTTCCAACACGCTGCGTTTACTCCGGCACTAAACGAGGATCCACGTCTTCGCCTGCGTCGGAAGAAGTTTTCACCGTTTTACGGCCAGTCGGAGGCTCGTAATGATCCGGCGCACTCTCGCTGATATTCGAGAGCGAGCATGCTTGCCACAGGGAGAGCAGCACGCTGGGTCCCCCCTCTCCCCTCCGTCCTCGTTCGGAAGGATTCACAAATGTAAAAATCACTCGCAAGTGAGAGTGTGTAAATGCCCACGGAATGTCAACGACGTACACGTCGAAGGCGACAAGCAGCGACTGAGGAGTTCTTCGAAGCGCGCAACGTGAGCCATAGCTGAGATTTGACGGTGTGCGCCAGCGAGCCGTGTGGTGAGACGCGATCCTAAAAGCGCAATGAGATACTTTGTCCAAGACGAATGATGATGATGATGATGATTTTTTTTTACTGATTAAAAAAACAATTGTATTCACGCAGCTCATCTGTAATCTAACACCATCAAATGTAATTATACAACAAACAACAAAACATTGTTTATAAATGAAATTGTCATGACTTGTCAATTTTTTTTGTAATTCTTACAGTGAAACTGTACAGTAGCTAGCTGCAATTCAATGAAATATTTTTTCAAACGATACAGTGTAATGTATCGCACTTTAGAGCATGCAAAATGTCCTAATATATAGCTAATCTTCCGCTTCAAAATATGCCAGTTTACTCGGTTTGGTATATGAATTGCCATAAAACGCGCTGTAGATTTCCCGTGTGGTTACTGTGTATCCCTGCGTCAATGTTCATTTTTGCACTGAACTGCACGCTATCTTGAGGGTTCATTTAAAGTTCGCTATTAGGTCCGCATTGACTTATCTCGACCAGGTTCTCAATTCTAATGCCGTCTTTTGCGTACGATTTTGGGGCTGGATTTTCAGCCGTCAAGTGGGCGTTCCGGTCTTCTTCTTGTTGTTGTTGATGGCTGTCTTTAATTGGCGCACGTGGAATGACCCACAGGATAATTTCCACCGGTGCTCAGATAAATGTGCCACAGGTTGCTTCCTGCACCACATCAAAATTCGGAATTAAATAAATAATCCCATAAGTTCGAATGTTGTTTGGGCAATGGTTGACAGTGTATGTGTGTGCAAGTAGCCAAAGTTACCAATGCTGCGTAATTACCAATTCAATCTGGGTATAGATATATTTTATTTAACTCAGATTCCCCCCCCCCCCCGTTTGCAAGTCAGATACACTATTGTGTTTCAATGTGTTTGGATACAATAATTGTTTTTTTACCCTTTTATCTGGCAACAAAAATGACACCTTTTTTACAAGGAGTCATGTTTGCATTGACCACAATACCTGCAGGCGGAATGCAAACAAAAAACATAACTCTGATAATGTATGCACTGTCCTTGAAATTGATTGGTCCACACCCGAGACAGCTTTCCTTAGAGCCTAGTCTCACATGGTGTTGGACCAGATGACACCAAAAGGCGTCAGTTTTGTTGAAAGATAAAAGGGTAAAAAAACAATTATCACATTTTGCTACTGGCAAATGAGGTTCCAGTGGTGTTTGGATACAGTTATAAATACGGTATTTAATGGAATTACTCCTTAAGCTAACTGCAGAAGACTTAAATACAATGATCTAAAACTGTCACATTGGAAACATTTTCAGACAATTCAAAAGCATTTCGATTTTAACGATGTATAAACTGTACACAATTGTAATAGCGTCCAAAGTTCATCAATACTTGCTTCATAATCATAAATTGGAATATTCATATTATATCGGCTATGACAGTGGAACGTGCCGTGACTTTTTAAAGTGAGTTTAAGGAAGCGCGCATGATGAACATGTACACTCGTCTCAATATAAGCTGTTAATATGCAGCTGGTGTTTTGTTTGTCTCAACTTTCAGACGATAATATTAGGATTGAAAACCTGGTTTACACGACTCGATTCAGTGTTTTGCTAGTCGTATTCCATCCCGCGTGTGTATTGTAAGTCATTGTCACGTTCCCCTTTTGTCTTCTTTTGTATCGGAGCTCCTTGCTACCTTTGTGTGTTGTAAACAAAGTCTACCGCTCAGATTTTGCATCGGATATGAAAAGGTTGAAGAGATGAGAGTTCTTCATATGCACATCTGACAATTGCGTAATTTGTATTAAAGCTATCTTGTACATTTTATAATAAAGAACTGGAAAAATATATATTTTACTTGTAATTTAATATAACACATTAGAAAAAACAGTGTTTATACAGGTAATTATACTTTGTAGTAAAAGTTCTAAGATCTAAAGATCTAAAAACTACTGTCATTAATAATTAAAAAACACACATTTATTTCAGCTGTTTATTGATCCACTGTTAGATGAAGGCCTCGCCAAATGCCATGCTGATCCAGGGGGGTGTTGTTTGACCGTACTTCACCACGCCGATCAAAGCAAGTTGGATTAATTGAGATAGCACTCCCCACTGATGTTAGCCGTGGATGCAAATCAAACTAAGGTTGCTGGTTTCAGAGTGCAACTTGATTGCTAACCACTCCATCACTCATACATACTGTTTTATGATTCAACAAAATGTTGGGCACTATTTGTAGCAAAACAACATAAATGCCATATATTAACATTTGGTTTCAGTCAAAGCTAAAAAATAAAATAAAAAATGCTGCTATAAAAAACACACAGACAGGTATATAATTTGGCAGTAAAGGGTGGCATAATGATTTTGTTCCCAGCATAGTTCCGTATTTAATATCATTGGCAAGCAATTTACACCAGGTAAGTGCGCGTGTTTATGGTGTCGTTAATGGTCAAGCTCCTTTGCAAAATGTTAACATCGGCAAATGGTTTTTATGAGTAATAATTTATGCCTTGCTTTCAAGAATTGTGATTTTTAATAATTGCTTTGGAAATTCAAGGGGAAATGGCAATGCATTAAATATTGGCTTTAAGTGGGAGCATTCTTCAGTGCGCGAATTCATTTGGGAGAGTGATATATATGCGAGTAGTTTAGGAGTTCTGTTGGAGGTAATTAGGAACTGTCATTTGACACCTGTGCTTTAATAGACTTCGCACAGAATGTGTTGAGTGAGGTGTTACTATTTTTAGAGGGGGGGGGGGGGTCACCTTCATCCCATTGGAGCATTTTGTTGCCGGGATACCATCTTCAATAAACGCAAATTCCGTATACCAGTTAAAACCACTTAAAATATTCTTAGAGCAGTTTTTTTTTGCTAATTTTCAGACTCCAAATCTTTGCACAACGCAAATGCGTTAGAGAACTCTTGGTACATTCGGAGCATATCACTCTTTTATAGGCAAGAACTTAAATTACAACAAAGCGATCGATAAATGACGTGAGTTGGCGCATTTGCGATTCCGCCTGCTTATAAGGATCCATTTTTTTCTCTCCCTCCTCCTCCACCACCACCACCACCCTTTTCTTTCGAGGTGCGAGGCAGCGTGTGACATTAATCTTGTCACGACCTGCTCTGCAGCTCTGCTGGGGCATGCTTCCTGAAACCCATTTGGCCTGATGGGAAGCGGCGCCTGGGAATAGACATGTCAACAGATCTGGCCTGTTTTTATTCGGTAGTATTGATCCCTGTCCGCCAGGCGCACTCGGCAGAGAAGCTGGGAGCTGGAGCCCCCCCCCCCCCCTCCCTCACCCACGGCAACACGCGCTACCCAGATA